TGCTGATGAGAGAGTAAACTGTACATAATATATGGAAGGGAAAGCATATAGTCGCAGAACAGGCTGAGAATTTTTAAATCCTAAGTCCCCTCGAATCTTCCTTGCTCTTTGAAGCAGCAACACACCCCTGTTGCTCCTTTAAAGATTTTAACTATGGCTGTTGTCTCACAAGTGGATGCTAATTTTCCTCAAACCCATCTTTATTTCCTCCAGGTCTATGAGAGATAAATCTTATCATACACCAAGGACCAAAATTGTAGGGAAAATATAGCCTGTACAGTTGACCCTTGAGCCGCGTCAATATCGGGGGCATGGACTGCCCTTGGAATAAAAAATCTGCACCCTCACATAAGCAGATTCTCAACAGCAGGTCAAAAATACTATACTAGACAAAGTGTGGGACTTTAAAATGATCATTTCTTGGTAGGAGGCTCATAAGAATTATGGGTTCACTTGTGTCCCCCAAAAGAGATATCTTGAAATCCTAACCCCCAATACTTTGATTTATGATCTTGTTTATAAATAGAATTAATGTGTAGGTAATTAAGTTAAAATGGGCTCATTAGGGTAGATCATAATCAAATATGATTGTCATCCTTTTAAAAATAGGAAATTTGAACACAGAAACAAATGTGCACAGAGGAGAGGTCATATGATGACACAAAGGGAGAAATGGCCATGAATCCAAAAGCCTTGGAACACAGAGAACTACAGGCAAACACTAGAAGCTAAGAGAGACCAGGGAAGCCATCCCCTAAAGCTATCAGAGATTACAGCTCTACTGAACACTTCATCATGGGGTTTTAGTCTCCAGACTAAATTTATTTGGTTATTTTAAGTCACCTAGTTTTGTGTACTTTATTACAGCAGTCTAGGAAACTAATACAAGCAATATATATGGGGTCGATATTATGGTTGATTCATTATAAGAGGGAAATTAAGCAGCAGATAAGATGGAGTCAAATTCATGGGGCCATTCATCTAGTATTCAGGAATTAACATGGTATCTGGAGAATGTGGGAGTGGATAATAACAATCCACTAAATTGCTTAATGTCTGGACTTATTGATGGCTTTATACTTAGAGGATGAAATGTCAAACTTTTACTGGCACACTGTAAAAGGAGTGTGAGTACTTAGGAAGATGACAGTTTTGGAATGAATTATGAGTGAAGTACTCCCTGAGCTCACTCTTCAGTAAGGCCCAGAGGATAGGCTTTTTGCCAAGATATTATAAAATGCAATCACAAAGGGGGGTTTGGTGAGTTCTGTGGTAGCTGTTGTGGGAAGCCAAACTCAACTGGTAGATTTCCTGATCTTAACAGAGCTGAGACCCATAGGGGTAGAATTAGATGGAGGCACCATTATCAAAGTAAGCAAAAGGAACAGAATAATTAAACTATTTTGACCTATTGGGATTTGTGGTAATGTCAAATTGACCATGAAATTCCTAAAATAGAGGTGATAAATACTTGATATCTATTTATATAGATATCTCTCTATCTATATACATATATAGATATATAAATATACACACATATGTATATATGGTATATTAATTCTTTCTTGCTATATATGAAAAAAGATGATGCTTGATATACATATATACATATATATATGTGTGTGTGTATGTTCGTGTATGGTATATTAATTCTCTTTTGCTACATAAAAAGTTATTCCAAAATATAGCATCTTAAACCAATACATATTTATTAATTCACAGTTTGTCAGAATCGGGAATTTAGGATCAGCTTACCTAGGTGGTTCTGGTTTCAGGTTTTTTCATGAGGTTGCAGTAAATATGCCAGGAAGGACTTCATTCATCTAAGGGCTTGATTGGGGCTGGAGAATCCATTTACAGGGCTGTTGGCAGGAGGCCTCAGTGCCTTCCACGTAGACTGCATAAAGCTTCTTGAATTTCTTTCATGACATGGCAGCTGACTTCCCCCAGAAGAGTGGTCCAAGACAGAACAAGTAAGAAATCAAAATCCCTTTTATGGTCTCGTTACAGGAGTTACACAGCATCATCACTGCAACTTCTTTCCTTTGGAAGTTGAATCACTAACGGCAGCCTACATTTCGTGGGAGGAGGATTAGGTTTTACCTTTTGATGAAAGTACTTGTACACTTATTTGCTAGGTAGATATTTACCTTGAATTACCATAGCAAAGACTCACAGATTGTCTGTTTTGTACGTTTGTTCACAGACTTTATTTAACTCTCAATATTTTTACTATTCTTCTGTTAGACTTCAGAGAATATGCATTTAATAATCCATTTACTTGCCTGTCAAATGCTGAAAACACAAAAATGAGTTATAATTTTTTAAGCATTGCAAGGTAGATATCATTATTCTTAATTTTTTCATGTGATATTTATTATAGTTTTCAAATGGGAAAATAAGAACTAAATTAATCTTTCCAACTCTGATTAAAGAAATAGCTATCCATTAAAGCCAGATTAGATATAACATCTCTGAGTGCTTTGTTACTTACTCAGGTATTTAATTACTTATGTACTTTGATGTAAACAAATCAGTTAGTGAAAAATATCAAGGGATCTTTTACAAGAAACTCTGAAAAATCTGTCCACTTTTTATATTTTCCAAGTTTAAAAAAAATCCCCTCTGGTACTTTCTATTCCTTTTCATTATGGACACCAAATTCCATTTAGCAGAATTAAACCAGATGGCTGGTAACAGGAATTTATCACCAATTTTAAATAGTGCATTTCACAGAAATCTTTCAATTTATACATGGAAATTTTATGAAGTGTTTCTTCTCTCCAGATCCTCATGTAAATTGGTATAGTCCCCGAGGCCCCAAGTTTTCAAAAAAGTTAGGTCAGACTTAAAAAGCACGAGACTATGGAGCCATAGGCAGTATAAAGTGAACCATAGCACTGATTTATACTCACACCTTGAACTGACATTGTGTGGGCTAACATTCTGGTCATTATTATGCATAGAAGTAGTTAGAGATGGTAGGGGCTGAAAGAGAATTAAACACATTAATCTTTACTGAATAACTAGCTTAACCCTTTAACCTTTATTGTTATTGCTTTCTCACATAAATAAAGAAATTAAGTAGTTAGCCTCTTTAGCCAGTTTCCCAGACACACTCTTTTCTCTCTGTTGCTAGTCACTGATTTTTTCCCCTCTTCATCCAAGTTTCCTTGTAGTCACCTCTGGAATTAATATTTATAGCCTTGATGGTATGAATACACAGATGAGATTCAACTATTCTCAGTCACTTTATTGTAGCACGCTGCTCTAGAGGGTGAGGAGTTGATCAGGTTGAGGTTTACTTTGACAAAAATTTCTAGTCACAGATTTTTTTAAGCACGAAATGTCAGAAATACATTAATAATAAAATACACTGTCCCTTTCATATTGAAGGATGATATTGTGACTAGTATTATCATTTCAGGTTTGGGGGTATGGCAGAAATCCCTAAGCATTTTGTAGCAGATTTTTCTATGTAGTTAGAATGTTAAAGAAAATCCCTTGGTCTGCAGCTGCTGCTACAATTCACTAAGCCTGATGCAGCTTGGAAATGTTCCCCATTTTTTTTTCAGAAATTAATTCAGAACATAGAAGTCTTTTGAAATGAGCATATGTCCATGCACACAAGCTACTAATGTATCAGTGGGAAGCCTCTGGTTGTAACAGAATACGACAGGCTAAATTAAAATAAATTTATTATCAGGTCTCTAGAAATCATAAATGATCTTTTTTTTTAATAGTCTAAGAAACCTATACATTGATGAGTAGTGATGAAGATAACTCTGATTGAAAGTCAGGATCTGATGACTAGTCTCCTCCACATTGAGTTTGGGAAGACAGATGTTGAATGGCTTCCTGTCCTTTTGCAATGAGACTTGAGCTTCCAATTCTAGGGAGGGAGAGAATTTGCTAGGCCCGTTTGCAGGCACAGTGGATGGCAACTCCACTAGAACACTATGCAGTTGAAGGGTGGTAGCTCAGGATTAATTGATACCGAGAGAAAATAGAGTTATGATCAGTGGGCTACTGACCTCATTACATTACTTCTGCTCTCTGGATGATATGGGCAATTAATTAGAATTCACTTGTGGATCCTGGTTTCCAAAGGTTCTCCAAAACACATCAAGCATTGGATCTAGTCCAACCAAAAATACCTCCAACTCTGGAAAAGTGCATTATCCTACATGGAAGGGAATAAACTGCCCTTGGGAAATAATGCAGGGATTAATTCTAAACTGACTTTTGCCAGTTTGGGAAAAACTGTATGATAAAAAAAACTACAAGTAGCTTTGAAGGCCTCTATAGAACAATAACATTGCCAAATACAATGATACTTAATATATATCATATTGAAAATGCTTAAATATCTGTGGAAACATAAACTTTTGGATTCCTACGATTTTACAGACAAAGCTGCATGCATTCTGAAAATTCCCATTTCAGACTGAGAAAGGACACAGTGGGCATTTGTGCCACAGCAGTCTTGGAAATGGCATGGTTTTCCACTCTGACCCTGGTCGTTTTCAGTGGTAATAACACATGCAGCATTATGCTACAGAATTAAAAAGAGTTTTTACTTTTATAGACAACAGATGTCTATAAAAACCTTCTTAAATGCTCTGATAAACATACTCATAATAATAATGACTAAATTATATTTAATGTTGGATGTATGCCAAAACTTTAAAAGTTTTATCTTGTTTAATCTTCACTGCAATGTAATGAAGTTGATTAGGGTTTCTCATCCTCAGCGCTATTGACCTTTTGACAAGATCATTCTTTGTCAGGTTTGGGGAGAGGGGGCCCTCTGGTGCACTGAGCTATTTTACAACATCCATGGTTTCTACATAGGTGCTGATAGCACCCTCTCCCCTTGTTGTGACAACAAAACAATGTGTCCAGACATTCCCAAATATCTCAGTTGAAAATCAATGAAATAGATACTATTGTGGTCTGCCCCCAGAAAAACCTGAGGGTCAAGAAAAAATCACTTGCCTGCTCACTTCAGCAGGACATTTACTAAAATTGCAATGATACACAGGAAATTAGCATGGCCTCTGCTCAAAGATGACACGCAAATTTATAAAGTGTTCTATATTTTTTAAAAAGGGAAAAACTGGATTTAAAAGAAAAAAGGGAAAAGGACACTTTGTTAAATTTATTGCAGCAAGGGAGAATACCACTTTGATTATAGCATCTCAACAGGGAGAAGAAGTTAGGCAAATTTACTTTTAGAGTTTTAGGCTCAAAAAATTATGATGAGTTTCTTAGACTAGGGAAATAATTAGGAGTTGGTAGAGGCCACATAAAATAGTTTGAGATAGGAAGACACACAAAGAAAAGTTCTTGAGGTTAATCTTAATGAGGAAATTGTTTTATTAAAAAAGAGCATTTCCTGAAATGAGCAAACTGTTTGCCTAGTTGTATTCATTTTCAACAATTTCCTAATGTAAAAAGTAAATCTGTAGCATTCAGCCATGTTTGCTTTTCATAGGTTGGCTTATTACTTAACCCTGAATCCCAGAAGATGAGCATGTTTTTATTAAAGTCAATGGAATTTATGTCATGAAAGTTAGAGTATCTATGAAATTTGTATAGGTCTCTTCTAACATCTAGGACTTTTCCAACCCTCTCTGCTTTCCTTTACTATTTAAGAGTCTTCCTGTCTATATCAGTATCTATATCTATATTCCATATGTCTATATCTATATTTAATTCCATATTCATATCTTTATCTAATCTATTGTCATCTATCTCTATCCATATCCATATTTAGATCTATCTATAGCTAATCTATATCATCTATATCTACAGCTATATCTAAAATAACCTGTTATGTCTAAATCTCTTTTTCACTATCAAAAGTTTTCTATTTTGAATAATAAAATACATGTTCATTTTCTCTAATTTTCATTTAAACAATCCCCAACCTTATATCTGATTCTCTTTATCTTTGTCAGCCCAACTCAAGTAGGATATTTGTAGGACACTTGTGGAAATCCATAAGGCAGTGTCCTTGATCACCTGGCTGGATATTTTTGGGATGTCCCTTATGCCATTTATGTAGGCTATCTCATTGTAATTGGGTTTTGGTTGCTGTTGGGTCCATATTTGGTAGGTTCTCCCCTCCAGCTGGCTGACTGAGAGTCACACCTCCTAGCATGTCTTGTGTGCTGTTGCACAGGTGTTGCTAGAACAAAGCAAACCAACCAGGGAAACAAACCCCACACACATAACTCCACTATCAACAACAAATGAGTAACTGTTAATAAAGGTGTAAAGAGATTAAGACTATTATAAGAAAGGAAAAATGAAAATGAGATAAGTAACTAAAAGGAAACTAATTTTGAGAAGGTAGCAGGGGACAAAATAAGAATATAGAGAATAGAAACATGGTGGAAGAAGAAAAATGATATTTACATCATAAATAAAAATGGGAGGGAAGAAGGCAACATGGAGGGAGAAAAGGGAAAAAGTACAGTGTGAGGTTTAAAAAAATTGAAAGTATGTTGAAAAAAATCAGAACCAAATTGAAGAAAACCATCCACCACCATAGTACCAATGACAAATGAGCAAAGATTAATATAGGTGGAAAGGGAATAAGCAGGACAAAAGAAAGAAAAAAAGCTTATGAGATGTCTAAAGAAAAGAAAAGTGATTTTAAGAGGATAAATGGAGAAGAAATAATAAGACCGAGGAATGAAAACTAGGTTATAAGAGGGAAAAAGTGAAATTTAAAATGAACAAAAAAGTGAAGGAGGAAATTAAAATGGTATAGGAGACAAGGATAGTAAAATTTGATATTTGAAATACAAAAATATTGAAGATCTAGAAATAAAATAGAAGAAATGCAAAAACAGCCACCATATCAACAACCAACAAGCAAAGGTTAATAAAGATGGAGAGAAAATAAAAGTATTTTAGAATGGGAAAAATAATGTGAGATGACTAATGACAAGAAAAATGGTTTTGAGAGGCTGGGATGGGTGAATAGTAAGTGTGTAAAATAGAAACAAGTTGTAGCAAGTGAAAAAAATTTAAAATAAAAATATTTGGAAGGAGGAAGGCAAAATGGAGTATGAGAAGGGAGTAGTAAACTACAAGTTTTGCAATAAACTAAAGAAATTACTGAAATAATGGGAACAAACTTGAAGAAACACAAATGAATGTCAAAAAGCTATGCAGATGATGAGATCCCATTTGTTTATTCTTTCCTTTATGTCACTTGCTTTAGGGGACATATCAGTAAAAATGTTGCTGCATGAAATATCAGATTTTCCTGCCTATGTTCTCCTCTAGGACTTAATGGTGTCACGTCTTATATTTAAGTCTTTTATCGACCTTGAATTTATTTTGGTGTATGGTGTAAGTTGGTGCTCCAGTTTCATTTTTTTGAATGTAGCTGTCTAGTTCTCCCAACACCATTTGTTGAAGATGCTGTCTTAGCTCCATTTTATGTTGTTGCCCACTTTGTTGAATATTAATTGACCATAGAGACTTGGGTTTATTTCTGGGCTCTCTGTTCTGTTGCACTGGTTTATGTGTCTGTTTTTATGCCAGTATCAGGCTGTTTTGATTACAGCGGCCTTGTAATACAGTTTGGTATCAAGTATTGTGATCCCTCCTACTTTGCTCTTCTTTCTCAAAATTGCAGCAGCTACAATTTATAATAGCCAAGTGCTGGAAGCAACCTAGGTACCCATCAGTAAATGAATGGGTCAAAAAACTATGGTACATTTACACAATGGAATTCTATGCAGCAGAAAGAAAGAAGGAGCTCCTACCCTTTGCAACAGCGTGGACTGAACTGGAAAGCATTATGCTAATCAAAATTAGCCAGCTGGTGAAAGACAAATACCACACGATCTCACCTTTAACAGGAACCTAAATAACAAAACAATCAAACAAGCAAAATATAACCAAAGACACTGAAGTAGAGAACAGGCTGACAGTGACCAGAGGAGAGAGAGGAGGGAATTTCAGGGGAAAAGGGGAAGGGTTTGCAGGAACAAATATAAAAGACAGGTGGAAAAAAACTAGGGGGGTAAAAATGGGAGGGGGGAGGGCTGGGTGGATGGGCTGGAATGGGTATACAAGACAGAAAACTGTACTTGAACAATTTAAAAATTTTTAAAAGCTATGCAGATGAAAAAACAACACAAATAATGAAGAACACCACAGTGGAATTCGTCTCAGCAGAGTCTAGCATTTGGCACTGTATTTTCTTTCTGGATCTGCTCTGGTAACATCAGATGGTGTCCTAGACTAGCCTCAAACTGCCTGTTCAAGACTACCTGTGGTCCACAGTTTGTGGCTATTTTCTTCAGGTTTGACTGGTCCCCACTGCACTCCCTGTCAACTTTCCATCAGCACACAGTAGAGGAGTGGTTCATCTAATGACCCCAGAGTACGGCCGGTACCACTTCCACCTCCAGTGCAAAGGGGTTCCCCTTTCTCCACATCCTTACCAGCACTTGTTTGTTGAATTATTGATGATAGCCATTCTGACAATCATGAGATGAAATCTCGTTGTGGTTTTAATTTGCATTTCTCTGAGGATAAGTGATGTTGAGCATCTTTTCATATTGGCCATCTGTATGTCCTCTTTGGAGAAGTGTCTATTCAGATATTTAGCCCATTTTTTAATTGGGTTGTTTGCTTTTTGGTGTTGAGTTTTGCACATTCTATATAAGTTTGGGATATTAACCCCTTATCAGATGCATCAGTGAATATGTCCTCCCATTCTGTGGGTTGTCTTTTTATTTTGTTGATGTTTTCCTTTGCTGTGCAATAATAAAGATTTCTAACTTATGACTTACTGTGGTTCTCTGCATGCCCACTGCAGACATAGCTCCTTCCTTTCTACCTTAGCACATGTTAATTCTTTCCTCTACCTGGAATGCCTATTTTCTCCTGGTTCATGCCAATTCATTTTTCAGGACTTAGCATGAACATTATGTTCTCCAGGAAATCTTGCCAGTCCTCAGTGGAACAGGGGTCTTCAGTCTGTGTCCTTCACAAGGTTCCTCCCACCACAGAACTCACACCTGGCTCTGGACCAATGAATAACTTACTAGTTCTAAAGAAATATGTTTAAATTACCCATGAAAACTTCATGCAACATCAAAATCAATTATCATACCAGACTATTTTTCCTGCTGAGAAATTTTGTAATACAGAAACAGGAACTTATTTTAATAAACCTAGATAAAATAAAACTATTTTAAAATGCTGATAAATTAAACACATGCATTTTAAAATTAAACCAACATCTTAAATTAGTTTTGAAACCAAATATATTTTCCAGCACCTGAAAAATATTTGGGTTAGTTTTCATTCTATTTGTTAATTTATATAAGTGCTTCATTCCTTTATGTTAATTAAACAGAGGTTTTGCAAAAACAATTTTAATAATACCTCTGAAAACAGAAAAATGCCATAGTTCTAGTATACATATATAGACATACATAAAAATATACAGAGAGATGAGTTTATAAAATATATAGACAGATGCAACCAGAAACCTAATAATTTTGTTTTAAAATTTCAACCATGAGGCAGGTACAATAATGCAAAACTCTGGTTTACAAATAACAGTTGTAATAATTTAAGAGTATCCACTCAGACAGCTAACCCTTTTACTGTTTGTGGAGAAGACTTATAAAACTCTGTATTTAATTTTGACAAATAAATGGCAGGTTATATTTAGGAAAGCCCTTCTAGCACATGCATTATCCTATTGGACTTTGAATATCAAAGAGTAACTATTTCTGACATAAAGGTATTGCATGGCGTCAAGGGAATGAAACTTTTACAAGCTTCCTAAAATGTGGAGTCACTCCCAAAGATGACAGTTTGGTAGCCCCTAACCACAAACGGAGTGGAATCCACATTTCTGTCCAGTCATACCTACAGCAGATGGGTTGTAAAATACATACCCTTCTGGCTATATTTTAAATCCTCTACCCTGACAGATACCAAGCTAAATTCCCAAGTCAACAAACAAGTTTAGAAAAAGTTTGCACTCTTGCAGATTTTTATAGCTTCAAAGTAAGTGTGCTAAAAAGTGGTGTCCCTACTCTTTGGATTTTAACAGGGGGGA